GAAAACAAGAGCGTAGTTTATATATTTTTACTGAGAAAGCCACAGAATCGTAGAAATGTTGATTCAAAGGGGTCTCTGGAGGCCATCTAGTCCAACCTCCTGCTCACAACAGGGCTATCACCACCGGCAGATCAGATCAGCCTTGTCTCTGCTTATCCTAGACTCAAAAACCCCTGTGGATGGATAACCCATAACTTCTCTGGATAACCTGTTCCTGTACCACAGTACCCTCCTGGCGAAGAAGTGTTCCCTAATGTCCAGTCCAAACGTGCCAAGCCACAACTTGTCCTACTGCTGCTTTTCATGTTGAAGCTTGAGTGATTCAATGTACTAGAACCAAATACGGTACCTGATGTCATGGAACGCTGCTTGCCATACCCTCCTATATAAGTCAATGGGAATTAAAAACCACTCAGGCTGTTCGCAGAAAGTGCTTGGTTTCTCAGTGGCTTTTTCCATAAAAGCCTTCTCATGATCCAGCAGTGTGTATTTATCATGAATAATGCAAAGCCCTATCAGTCCATATTTCCACAACAGCTAGGTCTAAGCACTACATTCCCCAGTCAATCCAAGTCAAGGCTGCACTATGGGTAAGATGCAGGGCTGGGCTCCATGTTTGTTCTAAAATGGCTCAAAAGATTGACAGCTGTTTTCTTTTGTTCAGATTTCTAGGAATAATACCAATTTTTTCAAGTGCAAGGCAGAATGTTACAGATGTGTAATCTTTTGAAACACAGGTATGCGCTGTTCATAGTTCAAAATGCAATTTATAGCCCACTTGCCTTACTCATGCAAATAAATACTTGTGATGTAAGTGAGTAAGTATGCCCCTATACATGCCTTATTCTCTACTTTCATCGCTCTTAGTTCAGCTTGCTGGCATGCACTAAAGGAAAGAAATAGTATGCCAAGATGTGGAAACCCATAATCTTGATAAAGGGGATGTTGTTCAGCTTCTATGGGAAGTTTAGCTGATGGAAAGAGAAAAGAAAAAAGCTTCTTTATTCCCACTTTTTTTTTTTAAGAACTGTGCCTGCTACAAGGGTACACAAGGCTAGCAGTAAATGGTGAAAAAAGTAGCAAGGAAATGAACCAAAGGGCACCCATGCAAGTCTTATAATGCTGTCATTTAGAATCCAATTAGAATTATTTCTATTCTTGATTTCAGCAGTCCCAGGAAGCAAATTTCGCCTCTTAGCACTCTCAGCTTTTTGAAAGGCTACATATACATACAAAGAATTTGTCACTGCAGCCTAGGTTGACAGACCTTCCTCAGCCATTACTTCCTGCTGTATTTTGTCCTCCATTTGTAATAAACATGCTTCTTCGGTCACCCCCGAGCTGAACAAAGATAACAAAAAGAGATACACTTGCAGGGCAACTTTGACAAACATTAAATCTTTATTTATCCTAGGAAAGGGCATTGAAAATGAAGGCAACAAACAATATGAAAGGGTATTAAAATGGATGTGATGAAACGGGGACTCAACTCAATCATCCGTGCCTCATCACTTTCAGTAAAAATCTCCAGCAGTAGGGGAGGATGAAGCCCGAATGGGCATATCCCAGTCCTGTCGGGTTATCTGCTCCAACCCCTTTTTCAATTCAGGAACTTCATCCTCCACTTCATGAGCATCATTGTGAAAGCGGCCATGACCCACGTTTTCTAAAGACAAGCAACACGTTCCTGCCTTTCCTTATCCTCTTTGACATTGGGTCTATCTCTAAAAGCAAACATGAAGTGACTTACCAGACATAGTGGAAAAGACAATTGATTAATCATGTCCTGGATGAATTATCAGCAGCCGTGAGTGAAACCCACCTGCATGTACAAAGTCTATAACCCAGCTGGACTTTTTAAGTGTGATTTGAATGGTGCCTAGGCTTTCTGACTTTGTTCAGCTTTTCAAATGGATGCTCTAGTCCACCTTAGAAAAAGTGAACAGACTTTTGAGGAAATTGCCAGTTGGCGACTTGTGAGAATTAGCAAATGAAACCGCAAGGCTCCCTGCACAATGTGAATCCTCCCCAGCCATAAAACCCTCTCCTTTCGGGGAGCAACAATAGCTCTTTGTGTGGAACGCAGCAATATTTCAATGAACAAAACTATGAATTTTCCTTTTGCTCTTGGTGAAAGGTAATGATTTTACTGGATGAATACGCCTTTGACATTTTAATGTTTAAGAGAAGGAGGTTATTTGCAAATAGTGTTCCCCCCCCCCCCCCCCCCTCCTCCTTTCTGCCATCTCCCCCCCCCCCTTTTCCATTTTCTCCATGGTTGATGCTAATCTCTGACATCCCCCTCCTCAGGCAATTCTCAGCACCCTTCTTTTGCCTCACCAAAGTCAGTTTTCCCATGTTGTGATATGCTCATCAAAGCACGGCTTTCTGGTCTGAAAAGGGAATCTTTCCTCTTAGGAAAAAGGATGGTAATTACATTAAATGCATGTTAACTTCTTGCTAATGAATGCATTACATCTCTCCTAAACATTTCTGGAAAAAGAAGCAAGCAAAGAAACAAAAAATAATCAGTCATGCCATTCATTTACCAAAAGTATTAATTACCAGTAATTAGAAAAAGTGACTCATTTTTGAAGTATACAAGATTCCTAAAAAGAAATGCAAAGGTTTCAGCAAGAGCTGAATAGATGTATCTGTACCAAGCGGATAATACCGTGTAAAAATACAGTATTACAAACATAAAGGTTTTAATTTTGAAGGAAAAAAAATCCAGTCTTGACTTTTAAATTTCCAGTGATGGTAATCTACAACCGCCATAAACTGTATCAGTATCTGATTGTTTTCACTGTTCAAAAGATGTGTCCAAGATCCAGTTTGCATTTACCTTGATTCACCTGCTCTTGGATCTTGTCCACCCTTGCTAGGCCAAAGATTTCCCCACCATTTATCTCCTGCTGTCTAGGTCTCTACTTACAGATAGGTTGTCATCTTTTCTTTCTATGGCTTCTCCCTTCCAGCATATATCAGGTACAATAGCGTATTAAGAAAAAATCTCTTCCTTTTTTTCCCCTTTGAATGCTATTGCAAGCTCTCACAGAATTTTAGTAACATCTCCTACATTTAGACTATGAATTTCCACAGTTGTTGAGTCTAGGCAAAAAGTAAACTGAACAGATTGAATTCACCAAATCTCTCCCTTTAAAATTTTCCAGTCTTTCTTTTGGGTCTTTTCTGAGTCACCTTCACCGTACCAAAAGCCTGGCTGAGCTGTGGCCCAGCTCCCAGCGGGTGGCTGTGCCTCTGGGACTCACAGCCTGGTCTGCCATTCTGGCTTTTCCGAAATCCCTGTTTCACCGACATCCCTACGTGCCCAGGGAAGCTCCAGGTCTCCCCATCCCCTATGGCATTCGACCAGCATGCACACCTCTTCTCCTTCTTTTACCGCCAGATCACGCTATTACTAAGGCCCATGTAACTTCCCAGTTTGCAAGTATAACATTTTTTAATCCACTGGAACACAAAATACTTTCAGCAACAGCAGATGGAAACATATGTAGGTTAATCACTTCACCTTATTAAAATCCATTCACATTAACCGTCTCTAACGTGAAACCTCGCAGCTATTGAACAGCACTGGGGAGCACTACAAAACTGGATAGGAGAGAAAATGTCCGGCTACGCATAACGGAAACTGTAGGGGAATTCAGCTAGCGAGGCTGCAATGCAGGACGGGAGGGACGCTCCTGCCCGCCGCAGCCCGTGTGTCTTCTTCAGCGACAGAGAAGGAGTTGGTGTAACACCCCAGAAGGTGGCACCTAGGCACCCCTACTTATGCGTACCAATGAATCTTTAATGGCTGTTCTCTCTTTATTGAATCTTTAATGCCAGTACGTATAGCATACATAACCAGAGAGCAGAAGCAAAGCTGCCAGGATACTTTAATCTTTGCTGCATTTGAGATTTCTTGATACCCACCAATCAATAACAGTTTATGTTCTAATATTGTTGTACTTCAATTTCTATGTACAGGAGAGAAAAACAAATGGGGAAACCGGGGGAAAATTGCACTTACGAAACAAATTTGACAAACTCAATTATTTTATTATAATACACTGTTGCAGCATAATTTTGCCTTGGATGTGACACTAAATAAAATATCACTGCCTGGCACTGCAAAGGGGAAGTAGGAGATCCTTTTATTGGCAATTCCTTAGGGCTTTATTCACTGTGTGAAGAACCTGCTTTAAAATGGGATCGCTCTTTTCCTCAGAGGTCCTGGTGGGAACAGTAAATCTCTTTTACAGAAGTGCAAGATCAATTCCCAGAAGTGTTAAGAGACAGCTCAGAAAATGCAGCAGGGTACAGTAGCATATCTATTTTTTAAGTTCTTAAAATACACACACAGCAAAACACTATACAGCAATTCATTGTACATTTGTATGCATACACTTAAAAATGGAAAAGAAATGTGGAAAACAGTGAATAATGTGAAATGCAAAAAGGAGGGAAATGCAAAAATCTGTGGAATCTTATTTCCAAACCATATTATATTTCAGTGTATGAGAGCCAGACTCAACCAGGTTACTGGCAGCGTTGCCATGCTTGGCACTGTGACTTCCATTTGGAAACATTTATTCTATCATGACTGCTTAGAGAGAATGGAAAGGCATTATCTGACATAAAGAAAGATATCTACATTTGGTCCTCAACAAATTTGAAGGAACAGGATTTCTCTTCATGGTTCATTGCCTTTATCTGGGAGGTTGGTTCTCCTACACACAGTTCCATTCGTTCAGCAGTTTAGGATTAAAGAAATATGTTAAACCATCCCTAGAGAAAGATGCACACAGTCCCTGAAAGGCTTCTCCTGTCATATGCTCTGCCCCGGAAGAGGAATGAAGTCTGCAGGATGAAGATTTGCTTTTGAGTCTTACTGCATACAGCGACTCTCCTTTGATAATTTACCAGTATCAGACTGCACGCTTTGAAATAGTTTCCAAAAACCACATGTACTTGATGAGTGATCACAAAAGAGTTTATTAATAAACTTGGCTGTCAATGCTCCCATCTTCCTACAACCATCCCCTACATGTTGCACAGGGACACTGTTTTGAGAAGATCACATAAACATCCCTGGGCTTTTGTCAGCTAAAACACCACTAGTTCCCTACTCGTTTCTACCTTTTTACCCCTCAGCTTACCTGCCTTTCCCACTATCAGTTACTGTCAGCTTGGCTGCTTTGAAGTTCTGTACTCAGAGCCCTGGAGACATGAACAAATATTTGTATGTGCTATCAGTAAAATTCAGTTCTGCTTTTTTGACCATTATTTATCAAGTTCTCTCCCTTATGCTAATGTAAGCTCTCTGCTAATGTTGTTGTGGGGGGGTTTCCCAATCTTTTACAATCTTCAGATTTGTTTGGTTGTGTCTCTCTGCTTGATATCACATATAATATATATGTGTGTGCTTATATGCGTATATATGTACACTGTATAGAAATCCAATTTATTTTTCCATACTTTGCAGTCCAAATCTCATTATTAAAAAGACCATCATGAATCTTTATTCATACTGGGACCAGAAAAAGAAAAAAAAAAAACAACTAAATATAGAATAAAAAATAACTCTTAGCTGAAATATGTCAATAGACCAAACTATGGTTTGAAAATTTCACTTTAAAAATTAGAAGTATTTGTAGAAAAAAAATGCTATTAATTTCATACTCTGGAGAAAATGATTGTGATACATGTTATGTGTAGCTTGCACACTGAAAAAATGTTGCTCTTCTCTAGGGTACCCTGAGGGCAGTTCAGGGATGGATTTCAATGGACAGCAAGGGTGCACTCATGTTGGTGGCTAGCACAGCTCCTAAAGAGCTGGCTTTTTTTTTCATGATTTATAAACTGTAACACTGTAGGCCAGGTTGTTAGGCTTCATGTGTAAGTGATCCACTCCATTAAGTACATTATCTCAACTTCAACCAACTTGAAAATTATACTTGCTTACTTTTGTTGACATGGTAATTGGCCTTGAGAGGCATCATTTGTGCCATGAGCACAGAAAGGATGACCGTAAAGATACTTCTTTCACGCACTGCAAACGTCTGTGTGCTCTGAAAGACTTGCAGGTGGCTCTGGACCTCAGCAAGTATATGTTTCCTGCAGTTGCCATTTTATTTGAAAGAAATAAAGTCCATGTCAAATTCCCTGTTCGTTAAGAAGGACAATCTTTGGGTCTCTGGTGTCATCCATTCCTGTTTAAAATGGAAAGGCTTGAACAAAATCAGAGATTTTTTTCTTCTGTAAGAAGGGAGCACAACTTCCCTGGTGACCTGTCCTATTAGCAAGCGTTTAAACTCTGCATTAAGCCGCGGAGGCTCTGCTGTCACAGTGGGGCAGACGTTGCTTATTAGCTCTGCCCTGGGCACTAACAAAGCAGGAGTAATTCCCTCAACAGGGCAGTCAGGGCAGCTGAGGTTCTTGGGAGAAATCCTTTGGGTCAGAAAGTTCAAGGTGATAGCGTATGCAGTAAGGATGCTGTAGGACCTCCAGATCAGGTCTAAGGAATGATATTTGTATGTCTAATAAGCAGGATGAGTCAAAACTGAAAGCTCTTATTCAAACTACTCAAGTCCTAGTCCACTTCCCACCCAGCTCATGTGAAGTTGGCCACCCACCTCCTTGTTCGTCTTCAAAGCTCTCTAGGCAACCTCAGCTCTGCATTTAGGCAATCCCTAATTTACTAGTTGCCCACCTGCAATTTGAAAAGGTAAAGGTTAGAGCATGCATCTATGATGTGACAGACTGGAGTATAATCCCTCATCAGCTTTGCTGCACCTTCTTTCCTGGACATGGGCATCTACCATGTCATGTTGAGGCTGCGGCATGATGCTGCAATTAAAGGCACCCATAGAGAAAACTACAAGAAAGACAGCTTACAGAGTGATAGGAGGTTAGAGTATTCCTTTGGGTACATTAAAATTTCAGTCATATGTGGGGTTGTAGGATTTCTAAGCCATATTTGAGATTCATTTTAATGTGATCATTATAGCCCTTCCTCTCTGCAGGTGACATTGCATGTACTGCACTGTTCTTAGCAAAAATAAATCTTTTTTTCTCCTTCTTTCTAAGTACATATCTCAACCTGACACATATTCCAGGAAATGGAACTGCCTTTTTATTATCCAGCCTCTAAAACAATGTGTTTTCTCCTTTCTCCTGTTAATGAAACTTGGAAATGAAGACTTAAGCGATGATATGGAAGAATAACATACCAGAAGAACTGAGTAGCAAGAGATCTTAAATTTCGTCTTGTACAGTTGGTATATTACACAATAAATCCTATTTGTACATCCAGACCACTATACTTAGCTATGCAAAAAAATCTGCAGTTTGAAATATATTTGACAGGCAAGAAGTAAGATTTAACTTTAGAAATCTAGCATTCTGACAGCTGTGAATAGTAGCCTCATTTAACTCACTTTTTAATTGTCATTTTGAAGTCTCTGCCCTTTATTTTGTCTGTGAGCGGCCAGCTTGCTTTAGGAGAAGCTGAGCACCAACCTTATTCTTTTCTCTAGCCCTTTGTCTATCTAAATCAAGAATTAATTCTACATCCATTCTGCTGCTTCTTTTGGCTGACTCATAACTGATATAATTAAGCAATATGACATAGCAGAAGTATACCCGTGGGTATCCGTATCACACCACAAATGGCAGGATAAGATATTAAATTTTAACCATCCAAGAAGTGCTGCAATTGTCCAGAGATATTGTTTGAATTTCCTGTGCTATTATTAAGAACAGGAATCTACCAGATATTGAAAAAATTAGGAAGACTGAAAGGTTTGCATCGTATACCTTCTCAATGGGTAGAGATGACTGGGTCAACATTTCCGGAAGAGGCGATGGGTGGCCTGCTTTTCAGTTGTGCTCAGCTTACCTTCCAGAAATTGCTGCAGAAAACCTCTGCTTGCACCTTCTCTGAGAAGCCCACTAGAAAGTCTCAAGTTGGGCAGATGAGACTGAAGGCACCCACAACTCTCAATAATCACGTTTTAAACTCTGACCACGTATTTCAGCTAAAGCATTAATGATGGGAAGTAAACAGCTTCACAGGACACAGTGCTTCCGTTAATCTTTCCTTAGAGTTTCACCCCAGTCTTCCCACAGTTTCAGCACTAGACAACACTACGGATGCTGTGGGCACAGCGTCCCGGCTCACAGCCAACGGACCAGTTCATTCATCCCTGAATTATTTTCAACTGTGTAGAGAACGGTAGCTGGGCTTGGATCCACTTTGGGCAAAGGCAAACTAAAGATGGTGGGAGGCATGTTGATGCTGAACAGGAGCTCCACAC